CCTTCTTCCTAAACTTTCCCTTTTTAATCTTTTCTAATCCCTTCCCTAATAAAAATTTACTAAAATAAAACTTTCTTAAATTAAACCCCAACTTAAATAAAAGGAAAATTTGTCCGGAAGGGACTTATATGTTCACTATTTTGTCTGGAAGGACCTTATATGTTCAAAGTGGTTCTAAAAGACCTTATAAGTATGTTTTGTTGTCTAGAAGGACCTTGACGCCAGATTCCGACGTTTGACTTTTTTTACTCCGACGTTGACTATTCACGTGACTCTCACATGACTTAAAAACTACCCTCCCTCTTTTTTTTCCCCTATTTGCCCAGATTTTTCCCCAAATTGCTTCTCTCTCCTCACGAATTGGGGTTCATCAATTTAATGAATTGTGTTCCTTAAGTTTTTGAAGAAATTAAAGCAAGAATCTTTCGATTAATTCCTTTTCGCATCAGGTAAGAACATTGCTCACGGGTTTTTTTCCCCCAAATCCCAATCTTTTAAGATTAAGTTAAGTTGTTTGCAAAATTCAATTCATGAATCCAATTAAACAAATAATTTCCCAAAATTCAACATTAAACAAATACTCAATTCATGAATCCAATTACCAACAAGTAATTCAACATACACGCATGCAACCAAACAATTTTCGTTCACAAAAAACAACATCGCAAAATACTCCAAAAACCCTAATTTTCGTTTGCCATTTACAAAATTAAGTTCAATTTAGTTGATTTACCTAGTTTTATAGACTTTTTAGACAGAGAACATAAATTCCTTGCCACGTTTTTCCCCTTTTTCCCATTCGCCATTGTAGACCAAAAAAAAGAAAAAAAAATTGAAGTACAAACGCGCAACTGAAAATAAATTAGAGAGAAGAAGATGAGAGCAATGAATTATGGACTTAATCTTCACTCCTTCATTGATTATTCCTCAGAGAATACCAGGGGAGAGAGAAATTAGGGGGATTAGAAGAGAGAGAAAGAAGAATGGTGGGAAAAAGGGGAAAAAATAAAAGGGATGGTAATTTTTTAGTCACGTGAGAGTCACGTGACTAATCAATGCCGGAGTTAAAAAGTCAATCACCGGAATGTGACTTCAAGGTCCCTCTAGACAACAAAACAAATTTATAAGGTTCTTTTAGACCACTTTGAACATATAAGGTCCTTCCAGACAAAATAGTGAACATATAAGTCCCTTCTAGACAAATTTTCCTAAATAAAATAATTAATTAAATAAACCTTCCTTTTATAAAATATTTCTAAACTTATTAAAATGAATAATTAAAATACTTTAAATAAAACATTTCAATTTATTTTAAATACTTCTCAAAATACTTATTTTAAATAAAATATGTATAAAAATATAGGGTATTACTTGAAAATTTTCCAAAGGTCGCCCCATCAGCCACCATGTTATGTTTGCATGCTTGAACCAAATTTCATTGATTTATATCATGTTGTGCTTTATGCTTCTTCCAAATAAAAATGCCTCAAACCCGTCACACACATTAACATTTCATGCCTACCTCATGGCTGTTTTGTATTTTGTCATACTTGGTCATGACATGCCTCTAGTCGCGAGGCGAGTGCCATCTTTTCATGTATACATGTATCAATTAACTAATAGGTCGGATTACATAGTGTAGTAATATACTTTGTGTTAAGAATCATTATTGAGCCATAAAATTATTTGTTACTTGTTTGTAGATATTCATTTGTCTCCCTATGGTGGAGTCATTTGTTTTAGTTAGTTTAGTTGTTCGTTTATGTATAGGGCTTGTTTGTGTGTTAAGGTTTATCAATAATGTAATCATCTTTTGCCCTATTGTTAGTTCTTTGGTAAAGATTTACGTAGTATTTGGGATCGCAACGATTGTCAAGTTTTCAAATGCTTTCAAGCGAATCTGGTGAAAATCATCCTTATGGCTTAACAAATCGTTAGAATGTACTGTCTCTCCGAAAAGGCTGTATATATATTCCAACGATGTGTGTGAGAGATGTATCACAGTGCAAGATCTTTTCAACGATCGTAACTTTGATGAAGGAAACCTCCATTTCCCCATCAACGTCGGCGCCCAAACGATCCAACCTCCATTTCCCCATCAACGTCGGCGCCCACACGATCCTCCGGCGTCGGCGACCCCACCCCTCCCTTTCCCCCATCAACAGCGACAAACACAATAGCAACAACAGTAAGTGTAGTCGGGTTGGCAGCTGCGAACTCCACTAGAAGCCCACCTCCTTCACAAACGCCACCAATACCTCCTCACCTTCACACAACCACCAACAGCGCACCCATCCTTCCACCACCAAGGCTGCGAACAGCCGCAATAAACTCGCTACCAATTCCTCCGCCACCAATACCCTAACCTAAATCGAAAACGGCCCCTTTTCTTCTTTCTCCCAACCGAAAACAACCTATTTCCCTTTCTCCCAACCTGAATCGAACCCTCGCTCCTTCTCCCACCCCAAAACCGCCACTAATACCATAGATTCATCCCCCAAAACCACCCAAAACGAGTTTAGGGTTTGGTTTTCACTCGTTCAGGGTGGTTTCCGACAGCTTGGAGTTTGGGAAATGGTCGAGGTGGGGTTCGCCGGCGTCGGGAGAGCGTTTGGGCATTGGCATGGATGACGGAAGCCGGCACAAGGAGGGGGGGGGGGTGGTGGCTGACGGGGAAGGGGATGTGCTTGTAGTTTTTTTTTATAAATTTTTTTTTTCTTGTTTTTTAAAAATAAATTTAATCATTATTTAATGAATAATGGGTCCCACTTAACGGAATCCTAACGGATTACGTTAAGTGGATGCAATATCTATAACTTTGGGATTTGGGTGGTAGTAAGATAAAATAAAAAAAATTAAATCGATAGTAAATGTGAAGCAAGGTACTTTTGCTGGTAGCAAATGTCAAATTTTCCTAATAATTTTACACATATACCCCCCATATATAGTTTACATTTCAAATACAATATAAATACCTTCATATTACAAACTTCCATTGAAAATATTTCTACTACCAAAATAAAAGTATATATGTATTCCCAGAACAACTGTGGAGTACGAGTTTTATCATTTCTCTTTATTATGTGATTAGTAAATATTACTCCCTCCGTCTCTAAAAGAACGATCTTTTTAGGCATTTTTTACTAGTATTAAGAAACTTAGGTGGATAAAATAAATGTATGGGGAAGATAATAAAAGTATATTGAAAAGGTAAATTTATATAAAATTTGTAAAAAAAGTAGAGAGAGAAAGTAATAAAAGTACATGAAAAAAATAAAATTTTCACGAGAAGCTAATTTTGCACAAATATTATTGCAAATTGAAGGGTATATTAATGCAAATCTAATATAAATAAATAAAGTAGGCAAACAATATGATAATTTTTTTTTTAAAAAGTTATTATTATATAGATTTTTATGGTGTAATTATCAAAATGAAACATGATAAATTAGAAAAAAAAACCATATAGGATAATTTATATATATATAAATCCGGTTTAGATGATCTAACAACTGGGATTACTCATGCCCTTGATCTAACAGCTCAGGTGAGTTACTTTAGAGAGGCTTTAGGAAAAATGGAGAGAAATGTGGGTCCGGAGAAAACGAATTGGACTATAGAAAATGCATATCCTTAATATTGATTGGATCAAATGATATGGTGATTAACTATTTTGATTTTCCAACTCAAGCTTTGTTATATAACCTTCAAGTTACTCGGATCTTTTTATTTCTTTAAAAAGAGAATATTTATGGGTGATATATTTTGACGAATGAGATACCATATTTATCATCGATTTATTAATTTAAATACAATTTTCACATAATTAACACTAATGAATAATAATTCACCTTCAATAGATGGGTAGCAATTTAAAAAAAGAAACACCAATGAATTAATATAAACTATTCTTTTCTAACAAGAAAATTAATCAAAATATTATATGGTATAATTAAGAATATTATCTTTTCATAATATAAATAATAAAAACTATATAATTAAATTTATCTTTTTCTAACAAGCAATTTAATCAAAATATTAAATGGTTTAATTAAGAATATTACCTATTTATGAGATTTAAGTACTCAAAAAAAATAATAAAAAATTACTGTAATAAAATATCCGTGCATCGCACGGACTTTCATCTAGTTAAATAAACATTTTAGGCCTAAAATTTGACTAAAAAAGGTCATTCTTTTTAGGACAGAGGGAGTAAAAAAAGATTTTTAATAAAGGGGCGGAGGGAGTACATATTTTCAAAGAAAATATTTCCATTTACCATTATATTTACGTACTCCCAAAATAGATGTTCTCATTTCACAAATTTCTAAACTTTTTTTTTCTTAATACCTGGTGTTCTGCTTAAAAAACTAAATTTAATCACTAATTCTAGAATTACCATAATACATAGCACATATTCTTGATTAAGGGGACGTTTAAAGTTTGCTCTAAAAATATTTAAAGTTACCCTTATATACTATACTACAAGTACAAAAGTTACTATTTTTCTGACATAAATTTTACCCTTAAACAACACTTATAAGTACTCCGCAATAGATTAATCATATTATCCCTTATATCATGTATCCATTAGAAATCACACAATAAAATTCAATTAGAACTGGGTTAAAGTTACTATAAAAAAACAGATAAAATTCCCTTCAAACTAACAATAAGATTAATGTAAGCGCTTTGCCGCTTTATACGATACTTATTGTATATATTAGATCCAACAATCTTAATCCTGACACAGACCCGATGATTAGACCGAAATAATCCGACCCATGCCTCAAAAGCGACCCAAAAACAGTGATTCGAAATTGACTCAAAACTCAAAATCAACTCGATCGGACCCATCCCAGAATTGAAGTGGAATTGTACCGAATCCGAAGTTGACTCGACCCGAAGTGACCAGACCCAAACGATCCATTTGTCAAGTCTTATTATAGGAGTAATCCGTAGCATATAGATTTACTTCGATGTTAAGGTTTCAATTAAGATACACGATACGCCACTCCAGTCTCCGTATTTATTTTCAGGCGTTGTCTATAAAACCTCGTCGACGCTTTAAGTCCCCCTAAAAATTGTAATTTGAAGAGAGAGAAAATACTTGTGTGCTTCTTTTTCGATAACCCAAAATCTCACAATATTGTTACCAATCAGGCAATCATCACCTGCAAATCACTATTACAAGGTTCCCTTCACTTCCTTTTATATTTCTTTGTTTTTCCCTTATAAAAAGGATAAATTTTGTGGCTTTTATTAATTCTTCCCAATAGGTTTTCTTAATGATTTTCTATTATATTACTTTATGATTTTTTTATTATTGGGATTTTATATGTTTTTTCTTGCTTTGTTCATGTTGCTAGATTATTGACTCTAAAAGAATATGGGTTTAAGATTAATTTTGTGTTTATTTTTCTGGGTAATTTTATGCTGATGCCTGGTTTGTTTTTTGGGTAATCTTTGTCTTGTTAATATTATGTCAAATGATTAAGGAATGCGTAATTAGTATTTATGTAAAAGGGTTGTTAAGATTATGGCAAATGTGAACATGTTTTGCAGTTGAGTTAACTAACAGTTAGTTTAATTTTGGAGGTGGTATGTCTTAAATAGGGTATGTTGGGGAATTGCTCAAACCAGTGATTAAAGGGGTAGTTTTTGTGATTTGTGAAATTCTGAGTAGTTTAGAATGTCAGTAGCAATGTTTGATTGTATTTTGAGGAAAAGAGATGAATGTCCTTTCCTTGGCATGAGATGTGGGTTGGCTATGTTACTTGGACTCGGGTACTTGTGTCTGACTTGTGTATGTGTTCAAGTGTTTGGCTCGGCTATTTTATGTGGCTCATGATTTTAGCTCAAATTGAAGTTCAAGTTGTCATACTCATACCAATGTGGGTGTGTCTAGAATTTGACATGGGTGTTTGAGATGAAATGAAGAGTCCTAGTGACATAGGGGGTCGGTGGACTAAGAATAGTCAAACAATCTCTAGCCAGTGATTACTTACTTGACTGCTTTTCATTCATAGTTTGATTTTATGAAACAACTTGGAATGTCAGTAGCAATGTGCCAATGTTTGGTTTGAGTTAGAGAAAAAGAATTGAATTCCATCCCTTGGCCTTTAGATGGAAAATCTGGGGACTAAGCATTCTCATAATTATTTGTGTGGAAAGCCAAAACATTTGCTCTAAACTTACTCTACTTTTATGGATATGGTTTGTTTTCTTTGTGTGTATGTGTATTTTCTGTGTGAATAGATTGTAGGAGTGTTATATCGAGACTTCATAATGAAACCGAATTAGAGCCTTTTTGTTGATTAGTTGCAGGGTTATGTTTTTTTTTCTAAAGACTATTAATGAAGCCAAAACATAATCATTCTTTAGGGTAAATGCAGGTTTATTGGTTGTGGTTTCAGTATTTCTGTTATGCGACAGCAATACACACTCATTTTGATACTTTTGGTTGCTTTAGAGAAGAATAACTTATAACACCCTAAACTGAGTTGTTAGATTGGGATGATGTGGGGGGTAAGGACTGCCACTCTTTTATGTTCACCTTTGCATGTAATTTGTATTTGGAAGTTTGCAACTGTGTTAGAATGGTGAATTGGTGATGCAAATTAGCATTGATAATTTTCAAGTAACATTCTACCATTGACTGTAGAGAAATTTAAACTAATTGCTATTACTATTTGTTTTCTTTTTCTTTTTATTTTTATTGCAGATGTCTTTGCATCTTGCTAATCTGTCACCTCGAATGCGTAAGGATCAGCTGGAACGTATTTTCAAGAGCTTTGGCCGGTGCACTGTGCAACTGAAAGATGGATATGGGTTTGCAGTGTATGACTTCCGTGGGGATGCTGAGCAGGCTTTAAGGACTCTGAAGGGCAGGAAGATTTGTGGTGAGTCTGTATATCTTTCGTGGTCAAACAAGCAGCCTAAGCCATCGCAAAGAGATGCCAGATCCCATGATGTGCGATATGGAATACATTCTGACCGAGGTGATGATTTTGTTGGTCGTAGAGATTACTTAATGAGTGGCAAAAAACAACCTGATAAAGGTCGAGAAAGGCACAAGTCTCCTGAGATACATGATGATAGGCACAGGTTTAATCTTAATGATGCAGGACGTATAAATTATGATCAAAGGGAAGTATTTTTGGAAGCAGGCGGTCGTGTTGTAATTAAACCCAATCAGATGGATGATGGAAGGTGGGGAGAGCAACTTGATAATCTTCGAAATGATACTAGTTATGATGCACAGAGGGGATTTGATCGATATGACCCTGGTCGTGTTGATGAAAGAGGTGAAGAATATGAGAATCGTGGTTTGGAACATTTTGCTGGTTCACATTCTGTAAGGACATCACCAGACAAGAACAGGAGAGTACATCCTGATAGAAAAAGAGGCCAGCAAACTTGTTTTAAATGTGGAGCTGTTGGTCACAAGATGCGTGATTGTTCATCAAAAGAGGCTTTGCAAGAGAAGAGCATGTACCACCCATATCATAGGCAAGATGTAAAAGCTAAGAATGAAGTTGAAAGGACAGAGATTAGATCTGGAGGACGATTGCAGTCTTGTCATCGGAATTCGAAATCTGCAAAACAACCTGACATTCACGGGGAAATATCTCATTCAGAAAAGGATGGAGTTAAACACTCTCCTGTAGAAAATGAATGTGGGTGGGATAAGAGAAAGAATTATAATAGAGATAGACAAAGGGTGAGTGATGATAAAATTTTAGAGTCGCATGATGATAAGAAAAAGAGGGGGTCTGCTTTGTCTCATCTTCATTCTGATTATGCATCTCCTGAGTTGGGCAGATATTCAAGACCGTCAAAGCCTTTGGGGGGTTTGAGCTCTCACTTTAAAAATGGATCACCTAGATTACATTCCCTTTCTGCTAGATCCAGATCCTATTCAAGATCGCGCAGATCCAGGTCCCATTCAAGATCGCGTAGATCCAGGTCCAATTCAAGATCACGAAGATCCAGATCTTATTCCAAATGGCGCAGATCCAGGTCCAATTCAAGATTGCATAGATCCAGGTCTAGAAGTGTTAAGATCAAGTCTAGGTCAAGGTCAAGATCACCATCCTCTTCCCTGTCTATCTCTATTGGTCGGTCTTTATTCTCCTCCCCAAACAAGGCAGAGGTTAATGTGAATGCAAATTCTGAAGGTGGACCTAGTCCTCTGTCCAGGGACGCGCATACCGAAGTCAGGCAACATGACAAACCTGAAATATGTGAGGAAAACCTGTCCATTGCTAACAAAGCAGAGAGAAGTTTGAGTGGATGTATGGATAGTCTCACAAGTTATCAAATCATGGATGTTCCAATAGAGAGGAAGGGATCTGAACATAACTCAGATATTATGACTTCTACAAAGCATACAGAGGAAAGCTTGAATGGTTTTGGGGAAGATGATCAGATTCCACAATATCAGGACATTCAGGAGGCAATGCTTGAGGAGAGTCAGTGGTTAGAGCCTCAGCAGAATTTTGAACCTTCACAAGCAGATGCTCCTCTAGGAAGCAAATGCATTTCTACTTCTAAACAGATGATAGATGGCATGAAGCTGGACAAAGTACTTACTGATGCTGATAGTGACTCCACTGCCCCTCATGTATTATGTGACCTCAAGGCTCCTAGCTCATCTTTGCTTGAGAAGGGTGACGGTGAATATGCTGCTGTAAACATGTCAGCTGCAGAGCTAAAAGAAATCGAAGAATTTGAAAATGCCAATGTAGAAACGACTAAATCAATGGAACCAATCAATGATATCTCAGATCTGGAAGCTTCACCTAAATCACATGTTGGCAGCCGTTTAAGCATATCTGCAGAGGAATTGTCCAGGGTTATTGAACGCTATGGTTTGAAACTTCCAGAAGAGAATGAACAGCACCTTGATGTTGGAGATTACTTTGGTTCTTCCCGACTATGGCCTTGGGAGATAATTTATTACCGGAGACTGAAAAAGGGTCTAATCTCAATGGAAAACTATGCTAGGCGAGTAGCACAGAATGAAGCATTCCACATAACTGATAAATATATTAGAAGTAGTAGTGGTTGGGAGGAATTGCTTGAAGAACATTGTTAGAAAGAATTACCTTTTTGATGCTTCTTGTGCGTTACTTGAATATAAGTGGTGGTTAACTGTTTCACTTTCCTTTTGAAAGGTATGCTCTTCTTTTTGATCTTATATGTTTTTGGTTTAGGAGTAGGTTTTTGCACGAACGTTAAGGAAGAAGAGAGTAGAGAATGAGTAGTTGCTGTTGGGTAACTCTTTGTGCTACTTCCATAACTTGTAATGCATTATAATTCACAGTATGCTATTTTAACGTGAAGCTGAGCGAGTTAGTTTGTTCTTTTGCTTCTTTATTACTTCATGAATCTTATTGCTGGTTATTAAAGTTCACCTTGGACCTTGTCATTTCTTTCTTTGAGTACGGAGTATCTAATATTCTACTCATAATTCTCATCTATTTAGTTCTGCTATCAATTGTAATGCTTCACGCTCTTTTGTAATTTCTGTGAAATGTTGCGGTAGATTATTAGAACAGAACCAGAATCACTGAGTATTAAGTTTAGAAATTCCAGAGTTATATTTCCAACTGTATGCTATATTCCTATTGGTCACTGGTTTTCATCCTTAATCTCTTGCAGTGGTTGCTGAATATTACAAACGAAAATTTGGTGAAAAATGAATTTTGCACTTCTATAACAGAAAAATCTAGGTCAGTGCCCTCTATCTCTCTCTCTCTCCCCTCCCCTCCCCTCCTATACCCCCTCCCCATGTCTTTCTTTGACTTGCTTGTCACCATTCAATATTCTTCCTAAAGATTGCCTCTTCTATCCGGTCTTGTACCAACAATTTGTCACGGATGAAGGAACTAATGACCCGGGATTACTACCTTTGAATCTATCATTGCTTAAAACATCGTTCATCAGAATTAAGAATATGCTAAAAATTATAGCAGATAGTTTATGATTTACTTTTTCCCCTTCTCTGCTGCTTATGTGACGTTTATGTTGTGAGGTTGTTTGATGTGCAGGGCTGCTTTAAATCACTAAGAATAGGTGGATTTTGATGTCAAGATTGGTTACGTATTACCAAGTGTTATTATCTTATGTATTGTATGCAGGTTATTGCAGAAACTTACCATGAAAGAGAAATTGATAATCCAATATAGGGTTTATGATTTTGTGTAGCTCCTTGTTTCTTCTTGTTTAGTACCATCATGCATGTTCGAAATAAAATCCATCTTTATCACGTCCATCTTGTTGAACCAGCTTGAGTGATTACTTAGGATTTTGGAACATTAATCTGATTATTTTTGTCAGAACTTAAAATAGTTTCATTTTCTGCTGTTTGCTATCTTCAGTTGCAATAAAATCAGCACATAAATCTTTTTTGAGTTAGACTAGAATGCCTGATAAGCCTCTTTCTAGCTCCATTAATATTACTATTGACATTTAAATGATATATTTGAGTTGAGCTATACATTGTGGCAATGCCATGAAGAAAAGAGTTGAGTGGGCTCATTTTTGACATTGTGAACCTGAAGTTTTGTATCCATGTGAGAGGTGGTAAGGATATTCATTGTAGGGCTATAATTGATCTGGTATCTGTATTGAAACGATCGTTAATCACTTGAATAATTCTCTGTTCAATGGTCATTGTGAATATTTATTTGAACTGGCTACATTAGTAAATGAAGACACATGTAGGCAAAAGTTTGGAAGAAATTGTGAGAACTGTTGTTTATTGTCCTGGCAGTCATTACCTGTCTAATATATTTGCACACAGTTTGTGTGGAGAGGGTAAGTGATTAGAATGGTTGAGTGGAGATGGCAATTGTGAGTAGAATGAAATTTTGGGGGAAAAAAAATAAATTATTTCCATTATTTCGTCCGTTGGAACCGCTTTGCTTCGACTTTCGAGCTTGGTTTAGAAATTTCTTGCAAGCTTTTCTATGATATTTGATGGACCAAATAAAAAAAATGTGGCAGCCCATATGCAGATTAACTCAACTAAGATGTGTTATGAAATGAAACAAACTGCCTGACTCAGGTGCAATAGATAACTGAGTATTGCTGACTTGAAGCCCCAGATTTCCCTTTAATTTTCTGTCAATTTGAAGGACTACTAGTTGGTGTAATTAGGAGTAGGAATGGTACATCAAAAGTTTCTCCTATCAATTCAATGGCCACTAGCCAGTCGTGCTAATTGGGCCAAATCATTTCCATCCTTCAGAGTTGTATATTCACCTGTAGTCTCAGGGGTCTGATGATGGTCCGCTAGCAAGTCATGAGTTCGGCCTGGTAGATATGACCAGATAATCAAAACTTTTGATGCCCTAGCTCCTGCTCAAAACCAAAAAGGTCTAGTTTCCGAAGCATTGCTGCAACGCCTGCTAGCCAGTACCCATTTCCTGATATGGGGTGGCTTATTTACGTTGCAGCTTGGTCGTAGCGTTGTCTTAAGTTGGCTAACTGCACTTACCAATTACCATGTTTCCAAAGGGTTACAGTTGCAAATTGGCGCCACCAAGTAAAGTAGTTTTTTGGTTTTAAGAGTTGACATCCTCAGGTTTCAGGAGATCTTAAGGTTTCTGACTGTCTTAAGAGATTAGATTTCCTGGAAAATTGAGCTGATTGTTACTCGTAGTACTTTTCAAGTGTACGTACCTTTGTAAATAATATTGTGGGGTATACATAGCAGCAACATACTGTATTTAATTCACAAGACCAAAGTGGTAGATTTGAATTAAGCCTAACCTCTCATTTGGGGGTCTATCTGACTCAGCTTGTCTAACATATTGTACTTTACGTAGAATTTTTGGGACCAATATCACAAATACAGGTATTATTTCTTCCTCCATTTCTAAATATTTGAAGTTTTGATGTATTATCTATGAATTAATGGTTCATTTATTCGGGTTAGTTTCTCTCTCTAATTATTATGAATCCTAACCCAATACAAATAATTCTATGAATTATCTAACCTTTCATTCGATGAAAAGTTGTAGTGTGTGAGAGCCATACTTTCACGAGTTTCATCACTTCATTAAAAATGCAACCAATTAGCAACGAATGAAACATATCTTTAGCAACGATAGTCATTTTCATATTTTTTTCGTTCTAAATGAGCGTACTAGTATAACTCATTTCTAAAGATGGGAGTGAGTACATGAATTTGAAAGTCACTTGTTGTATTTTATGGGTGATTTAACTATCTTATTATAATGTACTCCCTAGCTCCGTCCTTTTATTAGAGTCGTAGTCATAATGAATAAATTGATATTTAATATTGTGATATGCCAAACTTTTCTAAATGTTATGTGTACATGCACCTACCCTTGTAATGCAATAAGTATTAGGATGAGAAAATTCTCCTAATATAATTGTATGTTATGTCTTCTGCAATACTGTTAAACTATCCCAACTTCTAAAAGTCTCCTTATACTAGAGGTAAAGATCACCCCATAGCCTTGGAAATAAGTCAATATTTGTATTCTTAAAATCATTGGATGATAAGCAAAGTTAATTATAGGTCAAAAACTCCCATTAAAGAATAATATTACTCCCTCCGTTTTTAAATACTTATTCAAGTTCTACTTTTTGCATTATTTATTTGTCCTATTTTGACTAATGTTTGTGATTTACACATACGAAGTAAGAAAATATATAGCCTTGTGAATATTTGTTGAAATCGTGTCAATGATTAGATTATTAATTATTAATTGTTAGAATTTATACATATTGTTAATCAATTATATTATTGATAAAAGATTAGCATCGATATGCATGTTCGGGATAATTGGAGCAAATATTTTAAAATAGGGCGTATAAAAATACTTCAAATATGGAGCTTTCAATTAACCGACCCAATTAAAATGACCATTTTACCGACCCAACATCACACAAAAGTCTTGTTCAAAGGAAAAATAAAACTTTGTACAAAAGTCAATAATTGTATTCTTGATATTATTGAATGATGTTAACCAAAACTATATATATATATATATATATATATATATATATATATATATATATATATATATATATATATATATATATATATTTTTTTTTTTTTTTCAGAATCACAAAGCCTTTTTTATGCTAAAAAACGTTATTTAAAATTAATAATAAAGAAATAAATAAATTGAGGAAAAAGAGTAAGAAGGGAAATAAATAAATAGAGAGGGGAAAAAGAAGTTGCCCAAATTGACAACAAAAGGAAGAAAAAATGGCATTAAGTGATTAGTGTGAAGAGGAAGAAAAGGGATGAAATCAATTAATATTTGGTATTTATCACCTGACGTGATGCAACTCTCTTCATTATTCTCCAAGTCTCAACTGCCTCAATTACTTTTGCATTTAATTCCTATTTTTAATTTTTTTTTTAATGATCTTTCAATCAAATTTTTGTTCTTCAATGCCTTTGAACTACCTCTACCTATTTTTCTAAATTACTAAAATTATTATTTATTTATTAATTTCCCAAAATTCATTGTTTCTTGTTAATTATTCTTCTTTTCCTTAATCTTAAAAGTTGACTCTATTTTCGTTAAAAATATGGTTAATTTTGGGGAGTAGATTCTCTGTATTTCAGAAATAGAATGTGTTTTAATTTCATACTCTCATTACCTCATACAAGGTTGCGCCCACACAAGTGACACAACACAACTCAAATGATACTCTTCTATTTTTCTTCCTTTTATAGCCAACTTGTTGATATTTTGTTCAACGTTTTTCTTTTCTCTAAAAAATTAAAAAAATAAAAAGAAATTAAACTATTTTTTAGGTCAATAAAATTGAATCAATTGTGCAAGAAGAGTGGTTTTATTTGGAAATTGAAGTGTATTCCTACAACCCTTAAAGTTGCATGATATAAGGAAGGTCAAAAGCAAAAATATAAATTACGAGTAATATTAATTACACTGATTGATGTGTGATTTATCAAGTACTCGTATTTTCATATTAAAGTTCTGTGTCGGAAATGCATTAAATGTTTTTATGCATTCCATTAGATCCTAAATGCTCTTCCCATTTTGATTGTACATGTGTGCCAATGAATTACTTTTATTATAAAAATCTATACTATGTAGTATTTAAAAATGGAAAATGTTATACATAGCCCTTAGGCTACATATAAGCATAAAATTTACACTTGAAAATCATAAAAAGTTAAGAAATCATCAAAATATAAACACTAATAACACTGATTTACGCGTGTTTTTGTCATGAATTCCTAATTTTATACAATTTCCAAGAGTATATTTAATGCTTATATATAACCCTTAGGACTATATATAACATTACCCAATAAGCTTTTTAAATCAATAATAAATTATATTCCATTGAAACAAGGAAAAAGGCATTATAACATGAAATTGTTCTTTAAACAAACCCTATCAGTTGTATTGTATCTATATATATCTATACCTCCATTTTATGAAATACAAGTGAAACATATAGATTGATTTTCTCTCCATCTCTCATGTTTTCTACATATTTTATAACATGAGAGTATTTTATCTATTGGTTTTGTGCTAACGTGTGTGGCGTTGATGTATGTTCAATGTTCAAGGAGGTAGCTAGCCGTAATGTATTATTATACGTTGAATGTATGAATACTTTTTCAAGGAGAGGTTTTTATATGGTTTTTTACATTAATTGTTTTCACAAGTAGCATTTTTCAAGGAGTGGTTTTTATATGGTTTTTATGTCTAAATAAAAATGATTTAGACATATACGTTGAACAATACTCAAAGATAAATGTGCGAGCTTTTTTTCATGCTTTGTTAGTTGGACTTTAGAAGATCTTTAGCTTGGCTATATTAATTACACCATTTAAGTAATCATAAAGGCTAATTAGTAAGGCTGGTTTACCTGTATTTTGTTAATTAGTTTTAATAACTCGGTTGTTGGTTAATCTATAATTGAATTGGATCCGTTTATTTCTACCCCTTTTCTTTTGTAACTATAAAATCCCTATATTTAAGCATTGTTGTTATAGATAAGGCCAAATTGTTTTTAAAGCTAATTTTGTAACCCTTGTCACATGTATGTTGAAAATCTTGTAACATTATAGAATATAATATGATGGCAAAAGCTAAAGAGCGTCCCCGAGACGTTAGATAAGAGAATTAAAAGTGGGAATATTAGAGTAAAAATAATATTAATTACACCGAACAACGCGTGATTTTGTCATGCATTTTTAACTTAATACCATTTCAACCAATAAAAATATTCCTTATCTAACGCCCCGAGACGCTCGTTAGCAATATCCTAATGTGATATATTGCCTATAATACTCTGTAATGTTATGAGAAACAAGAAGTTTATTATTATGATCCCAATAAATCTAAAAATGACCTCATATTATCATTCAAAATTTCAAAATCACTCTATGTCCGACCATTTAAAAATTAATAGTCAATTTAAAAAGTCAACCCTAATTATTGACCATTTTTCTTATCCAATCGGTGACATGTGTTTAAACTAGCTACCATGATATCCATGCACTTATAAATTTGATTTTAAAGTAGGGTATTAAATGACCATAATGTATAGTTGTTCTACCCCTTTGGCCGCCTTTTTCGGTTGTGAGCATGAACCAAAATTGTTCGGAAAATAATTTGGATGTTTTGTACTCCAAATCTTTATAAATAGCACTATGAATACTCATAACTATTTTTCTTGCTATTAAATTATGCTTGTTAATTGTAGTTGTTACTCATTCAAATTCAGGTTTGATCCTCATATTTGTGTAAATCACCATCCAATTTGACCAAAAAATATTTTAACATTGCTATCATAATCTTATGTCTTGAGTTCTTGACAAGTTAGGTTTACATACATTGACCCTTCTCAAGGAACCTTAACAAGTTAGGTTTACATACATTGGACCTTCTCATATCTTACGAGCTATGAAAGATGAATCCAGAATAAATAGCTAAATTTGTACATCGAATTTAGCATGAAAGGTAGGTCAAAACTAAAACTTGATCTGATTACACAAGTAATCAAGTACGGATTACTAAAGAGAATTCAACCCAATTAAAAAAAAAAGTAAAAATTGTGTAACTATAATTTATGGTTGATTAGAGATATAATATAAACTTAATTATATTAGTGCCATGCAAAGTTAATTTAGGACTCATAAGAAGAGCTAGGTTAATAAAGTTGTACATCTTTAATGAAAATGACCAACCTCTTGAAAACACCAGTTTCCTACATAGTATTCAAGTCCCATGCATTTCATCTACCAAGCTTAAATTATATGAGTAAAATATTTCAATTATACATACTTGTATTAAGGTAGAAATAAATAAAATTAAAAAAAATTAAATACGTAGTAAAATACAACAAAAATAATGTGGGGTCAGATCATGTCACAAATCATAACCTAAATATATAATTAATTAGAGGTTGCTGATATACGTACCAAATAATTTAGTACAAATCCAATAACCCATTTTTTTTTTCTCATTTTTTTACATGATGCATGGCTAAAATAAGACACAAACACGAAGAATCCTACATCTAAAACTTAAAAAGGTTAAAAAAATAAAGAAAATTAGTTAACAACCTTAATTAGACTTCCAAATGCTAAAAACAGAGCTACTAAAACAGAGTTTACATTAATTTTTTTCGAGTTTAACCCTTCTTAGTCTTCTTAGAGCTTCCACTATTTCCACTCTTATTGTTGTTGTCGTTGTTGTCGTCGCTGTTGTTATTGTTATTGTTATTGTCATGCACGAAATCGAGCAAGACGGTGCTCTTACATTTAGGGCACTTGGGATCATCCTCCGATAGCATGACATACATTAGACATCTTGGACACCCGACTAATACCATAGAGGTGGCTTCCGGGCTGCTCATCGATACGTCCGAAGATACACACGAGCTCGGTGGTGACACCGATGCTGATCGGCTTGGTGATTCCATCCTCGGGTTCAGGTTCAGGTTCGGGTTTACAATCATTCTTGAATTTGGTGGTGATAAATTTAACTTTAAGTCCAACTTTGGCACGTTGTTACCATTTCTCCTGCTCATGGTCTCCTCCTCACTTTTATGATCTTCTAAACCCCTCTTTTGCTTACTCTACACAACAAAAAATTTTAAAAATTAAAAATCAAAAATTAAAAATTATAATTAAAATATATATAAAGTTAAAAACACTTAAAAAGTACACAATACCAACTTTTAAATTAATCACGTAAGGAAATTAATCACGTAAGCAACATGAAATGACCGATCACCTTTAAATTGTATTAAATATCATAATTTATATATTAAAAAAGATATATATCATCATAATAATGAATTTCAAATAAAAATCATACAAGTATTGAAGTGTTACATACAAAATCTAATAAACACAAAAAAAAAAAAATGATGAAAAAATTACAATTGAAGTACCTTGTCGTGAAGAAAATGAGTGCCCCGTGCAAAAACAGGGCACGGGGGATGAAATTTGGTCCGAGGTGGAGATTGTTTGAAATCGAAGAGATCAAGGGTGACGGGAGCGACTTTAGGCACTAGAACAACATTATTATCGGCAAGTAAGTTACTAATAAGAAGAGATATTTTTGGTTGAGGATGAGGATGTGAGTTTTCAAGTAGAAAGGACATTATATAGAAAGTGAATTCAATAGAGAGAGAGAAAGAAATTAAAGATGGGTTTGATGGGAGGAAGGGTTCTCTTTAAAGCTTAATTAAATGGAGTTGAAGTGATGAGAACTTGAAGGCACCAAGGAAATGTATTAATTGTAAGGAAAAAATCCCAAGGAAGAGAGATGCAAAATAAGGAAAAATATTTAATATAAAGTATAAAATAGCATTAAATAATTGTTTAAAGTCTTTAATAATTTTGCGAGACAACCACTGTCAAAACAGGGAGAACTTTTAGAGACGGAGGGAGTAGTAATATTAATACGAGTAATATCGTAGCAGAAGAAGTGGGAGGAAGAGGAGGAGGAGGAGGAGGAGAAGGAAAAGGAAAAGGAAGTGATAGAAAAAATTGAAGTCTTAGGATTGAATTGTCATTCATTATTGCTTAGGAGAGTCGGTGTTAATTTATAACTTGAGTAGTACTAGAAAACTACAACTACTCACTATAAACCCAACTGCTTTTAAAGCCAAAAATATTTACTACTATATTAACTATCATAAGTTCATTTTTTATTTAATTTTTTTTAAAAAATGAATTTTAATAACAATAAAATGAAGAAATTATAAAAACTATCAAACAGAAAACATTTATATGAAGATCAACCATAAAAATTAAAGTCTCTGTCTCTATCTTCTGATAATATTAATGACCTCCCTTATAGTTTGAGCATTTATTTATGTCCTTTTTATCTAACTATGTAGCTATATTAGTATTAGCAACTTCTTGAAAATCTAATTTAAGTTAATTTGGTAGTTATGTCTCTTTTGAGTTATTATGACTACCTTATGACTATCTTGAACTTGCTTAGGATCGATGATCAACTAGATCAATTATCTGTTTTTGAGTAGCAAATACGATTATATAGGTCATTTCACAAGAATGTATACTAGAAATTCCGAGGTTCAGTGTACATACATAGACATTGATAACCTATTTTAATTTCATTTTATTCATTAAATTTGCTTATAAATTCATTTTAAAACTACCTATCCATAAAATTCAAGTTTATCAATATGATAAACATGAGTTGTTTATCAAAGGGTATATTGGATTATTTACTCATGAATAGTAGGGACAATTTTGCCATTTAATATTTTTGTTAGGCAAATTTAACTAACAACGTTAGCCTTGTCGTTAGTCAAAATTTACAAGTAAATTCATCTTCTTCACTAGAGAAAGTCGGCGAGTCGACCAAACGCCAGTGGGTTTGTAAGTCGATTTTCTTCCGATTTGGTGTATGTATAATAGAAAAAATTCAGAAAAGTATAATGGAGAAATTCAATCTTCAAGCCCAATTTTAGCTTTAATGGAGGACATGGTCACCCTACCCTTTGGGGTTGACCATGCCCTTAATTTCACCCTTATTTCTAGGGTTTTTCGTTTAAATTGGCGCCGGAGGCGCCGAATGGGGTCATCTTCAATGTCACCGTCTTCAATGGTGTCGCCTTTGATGTGAGCTTCAATGGAGGAGGAAAGAGGAAGAAGAAGGATCATTATTGCAATTGACGACTTCATTGTTGAAGAAAATATGGTGATGAAAATGGTACCTTCCTCCATTGTTGAATGGAGAACCTGAGTCTTCTTTCTCTTTATTCTGTTTAGAGGGAGAAGATGAGTAACTTCCGTCAGTTAGGGACCAATCTTCAGCACGTGATTACAAGAGGATGAAAATATTTTTTAATTAGCCAGCACGAGATTATATGCAAAATAATTACCAAATTGCCATTTGATAAACATTTCAAGTTTATCAAATTGATAAACTTGGGCTTCCTCCTAACTATCTCTCGAATTTTTTGGTCATATATAAAATGAAGACAACTAGCCTTCTTATGTTATGTAATCATCCTAGTCTCCTTTAAAGAATTAGAGAATACAATAATTAAAGTGATAACAGAAGCGCATAGACCAATCACCAATCAATCATATTGATTGTAGTCTTGAATTTGGAAGGAAAAGTATAGCAATGTCTTCACTTTTTAGAAAGGAAAGGACTACACATTGCTTGGAATTAGGAGAGATTTATCACAAGGCTAATTTTTATCTAGTTTGGTGATACAATTTTTCAATAAAGTCAAATGATATATAAAGTTAGATTAAATTAGCATCACAATACAACTTTTTAGATCAAACATACGTATAACTAATCTTTCATGAGTTTCATCTATGAGTGGTTATTGAAGCAGTAAATTTGGAACAAGGATGAATACTAGAAATTCCGAGGTTGATCATGTACACATTAAGATGATGTGATACACCTGATTTGATTGCCTATTTTAATTTCGATTTTGTTAATTTTCAAGCCAGGAACTAACTAATACAATAATATCCTCATATTATTGGTGTATCATATTCTTGGTCTAATTGATGTAGCCAAGAACTTGTGCCTCTACATTTGATTAGAACCTTAGCACTATCCTTAGGCTCCACCGAATACTCTACAGGTTTCTTACAAGTGAAGTTACTAATTATATGGACTTTAGTATTCAATGATTCTCGGTTTGGGCCAATACAAGTATCTCCAATTTGGACCAGCCCGAAACTCTTTACAAAGTTTCATGTCCTTAATGTCCAGTATTTTCTAGTTCTTTTAGGCTAGAAGCATAGTTGTGAACTTGTGACAGAGTATAGATTGATACTCTCTCCGTCTTTAAATACTTGCTCCATTTCTCCATATGCGGAGTTTTAGGAAAAATTGAAAAAAGTAATAAAGTATGGATGTAGTGGAATATGTGGAAGAATAAAAAAAATTGTAAAAAAACAAAAGTAGTGGAGAAAAATTGGAGGAGGGAATATGAAAATAATAAAATATTATCATGGTAGGTCCACTAGGTGAGAGAAATTAATTTAATATTGTAAAAGTTTTCCAAATAAGGAAATATGGCAAGTATTTAAAAATCGGCTATTTCACCAAATGCCACTAAGCACTTTAAAAATTCACTAAATGTCATCGAACTTTTCAGAATTCACCAAATGCCACCGAGTTTTTTAAAAATTCACCGAGTGCCATTAATGACTAACGGCAGTTAACTCCGTTAGTCATTAAGGCTAATTATGCCACGTGGTGGCTTATGATTGGTTGCTTATTAAATTAGTATGTTAATTACTTAATAAAAAACTAAAAAAAAAAAAAACCACCCACCCACCATGACTCAGCCCGACCAGCGTCTATCACTTCCACCACCATATCCCCACCTCCAACCAATCCCCACCGCGGCGGCGACCCACCCCTGAACAACCCAGCCGGCAACCCAGCCTTGAACAACCGCACCGCCGGCGACCCAGCGTAGCCAGCCCGCATCGACAACGCACCCAGCCGATTCGCAAACTCTCCTTCTCCCTCGAAAATCCCTCCCCTCACCACCGCCGACGACCAAAGCCCCCTCCCCACGCCGGAGAACCCAAATCAGTTCATCCCCTCCGAGCTCCACCCTTTCAACCACCACGCCGGAACCCTAAATTAAAATCCCCAAAAATCGAAATCTAGGGTTTCGACACCTTAAGCCCCAACATCGATTTCCCTAAATTCGTAACCCCCTCCACTCCATCCGTCCTGCTCCGACGAACCCAAACCACCTCTTTCCCTCCCATCTCCACCCCCTGAACCACCTTGCTTAAAATCGACAACCAAATTTGGTTTTCGATTTTGGAGATTTCGTTTTTGGGGTTTTATTAGGGTGTCGAGGATGGGTGTTTAGGGGGGGGAGTGGATGCAGATGGTAGGGGGCATAGGGTCAAGGGGAAGGGTGGCCGCCGACGATGTTGGTCGCCGGTGGGGGTGGAGGCAAGGGGTTGGGCTGGTGTAGGGGCGGTGGTGTGGTGGGAAGAATGGTCGGGGTTCAGTTTTTTTTTTAATTTTTTTTATAAATTTATTGATAAATAAAATAATAATAAAATGAACCAATTAGAATATGCCACGTGGCATAATTAGCCTTAATGACTAACGGAGTTAATTACCGTTAGTCATTAATGGCACTCGGTGAATTTTTAAAAAATTCGGTGGCATTTGGTGAATTCTGAAAAGTCCGATGGCATTTGGTGAATTTTTAAATTACTCAATGGCATTTGGTGAAATAGCAGTATTTAAAAACGGATGGAGTAGTTCCTCACAAAGTTACAAGTGCACAACTTTTTCTAGGTAATTAGATTAATTAGAATAACTTGTCATCATAACAAACTATTAAGAGCTATCTTGAAAAAAAAAAAACAAACGAACAATACTCTCCCTCTGTATCACTTTTTAAGTACTCTAATTTGACTGATACATTTGCCAACATGGAATTTTGACCAATACTATCTTTAATTATCAATAATTATAAATTATAAAAAATTGATTTTAGAAATTCTACGATGAGAGGATTCTGACAATTACTCACATGACTGTGTTTCATTTTATGTATAAAACACAAACAATGGTCAAAGTGATGTATGTGAATAACAAAAAATCAAATTAAAACACTTAAAAATATAGAGGGAGTATGATCCACCAAAGGGTACTCCAAAATCCAAAGTATGTTGTGCAAAAACTAAAATTAGGAATACAAAGCCGAAGTGGGAAACCATGGATCTGATAGCCCGGTGCACGAGGTTTATTACTTAGTGCTAATAATCACGCATTATGGGTCACAAGAAACAAACGTATTTTTGAGGGAGATAATAGATATATGCGCTCTTTCTTCATTAATCTTGACTTAGCTCTTACACTTGTCCAAGATTTTATGTCTACTGGCACTAGGAACTTGCGAAGTGAGTCGACTGCTGATCAAGATGTGCATCCCCCACCGAGGTTCCTTCAAGTAAATCTGGGCATGGCTCCCCTCCTTCTTTGCTATGAAACCTCAATACAACCCTATACTATTCGAGTATATGGTTCCTGGAAGAAATCGACAAAGTTATATGGTACAGGTTGGATGATCACTCTTTCTGATCAAAGGGAGAGAGATGCGGGGGGACATCTGGCATTGCTTCCTCGGCACTTTAGGCTGAGGGTCTGGCTTGTTTGTCAGATATGGGTTGGGCCCGAGATAATGGATATGCATCCATTAAAATATATACAGACTCTACAATGATTATCCTCTCGCTAGGCAAAAAAGGGATTTTAACCATGGACCTCTTTTGGATAGTTAAGGAAATCCGAAGGCTAGGACAACTCTTTCAACAATGCGTCTTCCTTAAAGTTGGTAAAGAAGAAGTCAATCGTTCTCATCAGCTTGCAAATCAATGCCGTCAGACTGTTTCAACTTTTGCTACCTCTATTCCCTTTGATTTTTTTAAGTTTCTTTTTTTTCCCTTTCTATTTGTTATTTAGTGTTTCCGCTGTTGTAAGAAAAAAAAATCAGAACCATTTAAAGCTCAAGCTTTGTTAAGTGTCATGCACAACCTTCAAAGTTGTGTTCAAACGAGACTCTTAGATTGTCGCCCTGTTGTGTGCGAGTCTATGGGTTGGCGTGTTTCCTCATAAAATTGAATTCCAGACTCTTTATGAGACTGATAGGGAGGGGATATGATTCTCTTTTTAATCAAGTTGTTGTAGAAAGTCACCAATAAGTTTTTTAGGAAATAACTCATAAAAACTCATTTATACCGCCCTCAACTGTAAAAAGAAGTGGTTGAACCAGCCCCAATTCGACATTTACTAGCCTCTTCTTATTCACAAGTTCACAATATCAGTTTCTCATATTGATAAACAAAACTCGTAAATCAAAGGGTTAAAATTGGAGTAATAATACAGGCAAACCGCTATTTCAAGTAATTGTTATACCAAAAAAGTTCATTTAAATACTCCCTTCGTTTTTAAATACTTGCTCCACTTTTCTTTTCTGGTCGTTTTTAAATACTTGTTCCATTTCCTTTTTTGGAAAGCTTTTACAGTATTTAAATCAATTCTCACACTTAATTATTTTAATATGGTGAGTTGGCAACTCACAACTGGACAACATAATTATTTTTGTCCATTTGTATAGTCTCAAGATGGGTTTTAGAATCCAAAACTCATCTCAAGACTATATGTAGTCTTGATAGAGATTATTGCTAGAATCTTGCTCAAGACTTGTCTAAAGACTCATCTTAAGACTAGGGATAAACTTACCCTAACATAATACTCTCTCTCCTCCTATTCTTCCACTACTTTTGTTTTTTACAATATTTTATTCTCTCAACTACCCCACTACCTCCATATTTTATTATTTTCTTCAATTTCTCCTAAAATTCCGCGCATGGAGAAATGGAGCAAGTATTTAAAAACGGAGGGAGTAACATATTTTGATTATCAAAACTTGAAATTTATCATCACAAAATATACATGTACATACACTATTTTATTTAATATTCATGATATAATTGTGTAAAAGATATTTTTTAAAAATTGTTTTTATTTATTTAAAAATAATTTCTAGAATATGTCAAGTGCTACTATTATTGGAATGCCACTCTTAGACTCTAGCTCAATCTGTATCCCGAATAAGAGGTTGGTTGGAAGTGTACAAAAATCAAAGGACAAAGAAAGAAAGAGATGGGCAATTCTCAATCATCTTCAACCAACCCTCGTTTCGTTTCTGCTTCAAGGTTTTCTTTCTCAATCCTTACTAAATTTTCAATCTTTATCATAATTATTTTCATTATATAATTCTTCTTCATTTGATCATATATAGATCATTTACACAACATAAATTGGACGAGCTTCAATCTCTATTTAATTCTCTTGCTACTGAATCTCAAAGCAATGGCAAATTCATCTCTCCTTCAGTTTTCAAGGTCAGATTTTTAATCTTTTAATTAGTTCATTTATTAATTTCATAGCAAAATCACTAGTTGATTGGTGTTATTAATGTAGTTTGTTTGTTACCCTATATTAGGATTATTTCAAAATTCCTGATTCTCTTGGAGATCGAATGTTCGATTTGATTACCCAGAAACGCCATGATCAAAAGCTTACATTTGAAGATCTTGTGATTGCTAAGGTGATTAATTTTGTTGTTGGGTTTTTAATAAAGTTTAATGGGTTATCTTTAATTCTTATTATAAGCTATGAATTTCATATATAGGCTACTTATGAGAAAGGGACCAAAGATGATATTGAAGAATTTATTTACCAGTTATTAGATGTTTCTGATGATGGCAAAGTGGACAGGTATTGCTGTCTGACCTTTCTGGTTTATCAGTTAATTAAATTAGTCTCAATTTATTACTTGCTTCGCTTGCTATGTCCCAAATCAGTAATCCATGTGAATTTTAAGCAAAAGAATTTATCTGAAGGCTAAGAAATTGATTGAATATTACTCATGTGGTCCTGTTATCCAGAAAGAAATAATGTCTCCTTAGTACTATTTGCTGCATCCTGGGAAAAGTTCCCTTACCTGAGACAATTAGCAAAACCCGGTTGTGGGATGGAATATAGCGGTGGCCTGTGCAAGTGATAGTTTGTTTACTAGCTTCTAAAATTCTGAGAGGGACAAGTGATAGTTTGTTTACTGCTTGACGTGATTTGCAGTTGATTATTCCATGATACACATGCAAATATATAGTATGTTAAGTAAGTGGCCATCAAACATGAATGTTTTAGTTTGAAAAGCGTTTTTTTTTCACATCATATAGAATGCTCAGTTGCTCACTCGTGGAATCGAGCAATGTGACTGTCATTTAAATGTGAGTGTTATCCTTCTGGAATCAGAGTAATGTATGTATGTATTTGTTGTTCAGGGTCATTGGCAATAACGTAATTATGCATTCGTTGCTTAGTTTCTTTACTGTGTGGTGTTGATTGATTTAACTCACAGTTTGACAGGTCTGATCTGCAAGCTGTTTTAGCTGCAATTCTTTATGACTTGTTTCCTCTCAAGGATGATGACTCTGAAACGAAATCCCATCAGTGCATAATAGATGCGATCCTAAATGCTGCAATATTCTCAAAAGATGACGAAGTAGGTGATACAAAAAGTATGTCGTTTGAAGACTTCAAGGACCTGTGTGGCCATATTCCATCTCTAAGGAAGTACCTTGGAAGTTTGTTGTCGCCACCTGATCCAGGTTCTTTCTTTTAATCTATTTGTATTTCTTGATACTACTACACAGGCTATATGGAAACGTATAATTTGCTATCTGCTCTTTGGATTAATTCTCCTCCTGCTATGGGATGCTACAAATGCTATGTTCTTGTATTGTTATACACTGCCATTAGGCTAACACAAAGCAGAGAGTTGTAACAGATTATTAACTATGTATGACAGTGTATGCTTGATTTAATTTATCCTTCAATTACCTTCTCATATTTTTGGCGTGTAAGAATGATCAAAGGTTGAAAATTGCAGCTTCTAAAAGGATAGAACTTGTTAGATAGGGAATGTTTCTCATTGTCTTCAGGGATTGTTACATGCTATTCGAAAAAGTTAATTTTATGTGTGCTGCTTTGGTGGGGTGTTGGAATAAGCCTTTATTTCATTATGGAGGACAAGATATAGAGCTAATTATTTGTAAGTTTACAAAGAACCACCAAGCTTGACACTCTAAAGTATTGGGGTCTGAGAAAAAGAAATTATTAGTGACTTAGATTGAAGAATACCCAGTGACTTAATTTGAAGCATACCACAGTTGTCAAATATGATATTAGCTCTGGTTGCTTTATGCAAGCTGTTCATCATGCACCTTCTAAGCTTTCACAATTTTAGATTTCCTTCTTAGAGATGTGCCCATTCTTACAGAGCACTAGATGCTCATTGCTCAGTGTCTTCTTTCACTTGAAAGACAAGCAACCTCTAGAGATGTTCTCCTTTCAAGAGAGTAGTTCTCTAGGTTAGCAAGCTATAAGAGTATGTGTAGACCTTATTTATGCAGGAGTCTGATAATTTTATGCCACTCGAACTTTTCTGCTGGCTACCTTACAGTTGAAATAAAAGATTAGCACTGAACAATTGAAACCTTTCTCTGTATTTTCAATTCCTGTAAACCCCAACACCACTTCCCAAGTACAATTATTATGTAATTCCACACACAATAGCTTTGAGCAAATCTTCTCGTTCATACCCTGAGAGTACATTTGTCACTTTCTTTGGAATAGGATAAACTATAGTATACTTAACTGTCTTTTCCAGATAAAATGTAATCAATGAGTTATCTTGTTCGAGTATCTAAGATACTTCTAGTGCTTCTAGCGCACTAGAATTGGATCTTAGCTCTAGTTCTTATAACAAGTGTAAAAAGTCATATCTTTTTTCTATGGTGGTAAAGTCATATCTTTTTTTTATGGTGGTAGTTATAACATTCCAAACTACTATGCAAACTTTTAAAAAGGGCGAGGCATGAGCACAAATCTAAAGATCCAACAGTTTAGTTCAAACTTTATGGCACTAGGATATGATCAAATGAATTTCTAGAACTTTTTTTCACATGCCAATACAACTTCTTTTAGTATCTACAAAAATTATTTCATAATTTTTTTTTTTATATATTAGAATGAGAGGGGAACAAGATAGATTCTACTCCGTTTTAAATTAGTTGACACATTTACTTTTAGCACACATATTAAGTTAAAGTGAGATAGAAATACAAAAGACACATATTAAGTTCATTTGATTGTTTTGTTTTCCCAAAGCCTTGAAACTTTGGTGGAACTCGACCTCCATTAATATTATCTCTGCTGATGGTTTCCACACACACACACACACACCAAAAAAAAAAAAAAAAAAAAAAAAAAAAAAAAAAAAAAAAAACCACCCTTTTCTTAAATCCACAAAATTACTCAACCTTTACAAAATGTTCTAAAAAAACTTCACAGCCCCAACTTTCTTCACCATCACTACCTTTTCTCTCTTGAAAAGTCTCCCAGAGAAGTTGAAGGTGAGAGATAGTGTATAATGGTTTTAATGATGGCCAAGGTGAAACATTTCCTCAGTCTCACAGAAGCTTAGTGTAGCCCTAAACTTAGTCACTCACTCAAAAGCTTAGTGATACAATTATATAATAAGAGATTGGACAGAAATCATCCACAGTTATTGGACATTTGAACTTGGGAACTAAATTAATTTAAGTATAGCAGCTTATAGCTTAACTGCCTCAAAAAACGAGAGCTTACACTTCTCCTGTGACTAATTTAAGTATAGCAGCTTATAGCTTAACTGCCTCAAAAAACGAGAGCTTACACTTCTCCTTTGACTTTTTCTGCAAATTGGCGAGTTATGAACTAGGCAAAAGTGCCTACTCCTGTTGTTGCGTCAGTTCCTTTGGTGGGTTTATTTTATTTGGAGCCTCTCTTCCTTGACATCACATGGTAAAAGCAGTTGATATTGTGTGTGCTAAGAGAAAAACAAAGAGTTCATTGGGGTGGTAACTATTGGGAATAAGATGAAAGCGAACCAACCTTGATATTAGGAAGCACCAGTATCTTCTCTAGCTTTATTGTTCAATAGAAGCTTGTTCAAGGATTAAGAGTGTTTTAAGGCCTTTATACATTTTTGTGAGAGCAAGGTGCTTCCCGTGTCTTAATTTGTAATTTGTTCCCAACATATACTTCAAGTTGTGCACTTGGATGCATGAAGCTCCAATCGTATCCCACAAATAGCAACTTATGGTACTTAGTACTTCCTCCATTCTCTTTTACTCGCAACGTTTTGACTTTTATGCTCGTTGATACATATTTTAAACCCTTTATATCTTTAATTGTACATATTTAAAAAATAATAAAAATTTACTATTGTGAAAATATATATCGAGACGAATCTACCAAGATTCCACCTGGCTTTATTTTGCCAACATATAAATCAACAAAGGTGGTCAAATGAGAGAACATGAATACTACAAATTTCCACACGTTGTGAATCAAAGAGAGGAGAAATTATTTAAGACCAGATGGCACCATATCATGGAGCTATTTATCTGAGCATTCTATATAGAAAAAAACCAAATTAGAAGGAGATTTGTAGAGAAGAACATGTAAATCATTAGGAGAAATATGTCTGTTTTGTATTCTGATGAATCCTATCCTGTAGGTTGTGCTGCCTGTTTGGTTTACCTATCACCATAAAACCAAACAAGTAAAATGGGAGTCAATAGCATAATTATTGATAAATCTATATAATTAGGCTAGTAGAATGCTTGAATTAGTTTTCCTACCTGTGCTCTAGTGTCAAAAGTTGATATTAATTTTACTAAATGGGTATGATTTTATGCTGTGACGCATCATTTATTTTCTTTCTTGGTATCTGTTCCCCATCTAGTTTGTTATACTACCTCCGTTAATTGTTATTTGCAACTTTGGAATATTTTATATCTCTCAAATAATACCCCAAAGTTGCAGATAACAATTAACGGAGGTAGTAGTTTTAGCTTACAATTTACAAGCTATACCCTTATTGCTGTGTTCTGTCATTAAGTTGAACCCATTTTGTTTATGGACAAACTTTTGTTGATGGACTTTATTTTCTAATGCAAACTTTGACTCCTTTTTCCATGTAGGGAGGGTGGGTTCTCAAGTTCCTCGTCTGCTGTACCCTGACACTTATGATTCCAACCTAATATTGAAGGAGCAATATGCTTGGTTGATAGGTGGCCTTCTCACCCAGCTAGAGCTGGTGGAGTGGAAACTTTTGTACCACAGTTCATACCATGGCCAGAGTTTCAACACATTCCTGGGGAAAGTCGCGTGAGATTTCTATCTACTTTCACTAATGAGTGTTTAATTGTCCTAATCTTGGAAAGCTCAAAGCATGGTTTATGATAGAAGACATAGCTTATCTTTTCTCATGTATACTTCATTTTTTCTCTTTGGTTCATTCTTGTTCCATATTGTTAAGGTTTTTGTTGTTGTCTTACCTACTTTTCAATTTATTATTACCTTTTATGCGTTTAGCCAATTATTCACAGCTAATGGCTACCTTAATATTTGAAAGTTCTGCGTTTTGATGAAGAAAATGCTCCACTTTTTTGCCAATGCATGTTTGATGCCGATAGCTTAAAACTATAACTGTAGTAATGATTATTACAATTTGAGTGCAGAGTTGATGAAGGGCCAACTGTGTTGATTATCAAGGATACAGAAGGTTGCGTATATGGAGGTTATGCTTCCCAACCGTGGCAAAAGCACAGTGATTTCTATGGTGATCTAAAGTGTTTTTTGTTTCAGCTACATCCAAAATTGTCTATTTATCGGCCAACTGGAGCAAATAACAATTTGCAGTGGGTGAGAACTAAAAAATGAAATAATTCTCTTTTTGAAGTAAATAATATTGTGTTTTTGCAACGAATTATTTCTTCCTTACAAATTATCTACCACTCTCCACTCACTTAAACACTTGAATTTATTAGTTTACCCTTTCCTGAAAATGTGAAATTCTCTGGCCCCTAAAAAGTAAGAACCCATTACTAAGATGTAAGGGAAATATTTCCCATATTGAGTGCAATTTATAAGGGTACTTCAATAAACTCAATAAATGTATGGTAGTTTCACTACCTTTTTAGAATTACAGATCAGTTTCTGGAAACTTCAAAATGGTCGTGTAGGTTACCCTGTTATACTTTCTGATGTGCTCGAACTGTTGTGAATTCCTTGAATTCTTTTATATTATGGCTCTTGCAATTTCCTTAGCTGATGGAATTCCACATTTGCAGTGCGCTGTCAATTACAGTTCAGAATCCATCCCAAATGGAATTGGCTTTGGAGGACGGGCTCATCACTTTGGTCTCTTTCTGACAGCAAATTTTGACGCTGGACAAACCTTTGAGTGTACTACATTTGGGAGTCCTCCCCTTTCAAAATCCAACAGGATATGCCCGGAAGTAATAGAATGTTGGAGTGTTTTCCCTAGAGAAGTGCAACTAAAAGGGAGCAATGCACTCGAAGGTACTGTGCTAGAAAGGTTTAAGGAGGATAGAAACATGCTTAACTTGGTCGGCCTTGCAAATTCCAGTCAGTAACATGCTTGCATTCTGGGCATTATTGACAAAGGGATACATATTGTATTATTGTCGATTTATGGAGTTTGATGATCCTATTTCCACGGTCTCCTCCCCCTCCACCACCCGGGGTTGTATTTTTGCAAGCTGTGGCAATGACAGTGCTTGTATGATATTGATGTGTATCATCATAATTATGATGAATGATTTACTGTTTTGCTAAAAGCTCTTTAACTCTGCTGTAATTATATTTGCTCAGATACTGATCATTTACCTATAAAATTGTTACTGTGACTTGCTGGAATCATCACAAACCATTTTATCTTTGAATAACATGACATTGGAAAGTATCATCTTCTGTGAATGTCAAGCAGATAGGCCGTCTTTGGATGTCAACATGTGAAGGTTTTATTGTATCAGGACTCTGGAATCCCCGGTGAAGATGTGTAGAAACTAAAATCTAAAGATCTAATTCGTATCGTTTACAAGATCCAAACTACAATCTGCTCGTGGAAGAGATTAGTTTTCTACTGCATATCAGATTATCGCTATGTTCCAAGTGCAGCAGTTGACATTAGTACAACTATACCGTCTATACTTGTTTCTCAGGAGTTTTCTTCTTCAATTTCTTGTTGTTTCTCAGGAGTTTTCTTCATAGCTACTTGCCCGACATTACCACTACTGTTTCATTGAGCCCTGCCAATTACGATGTTGCTTCGTTATGTCCCACGAGTGCTCGAATGTGAACTGTGCTCCATTTGAGCACCCTTGATACATCCTATGGGCTTCGGCCAAGATATCAGCCTCACTTGATGTACTGCCTTTCTGTTTCTTTGCTTCTGCGTACACATCAACCCACTTTTTCACAGACAAATTCATTCTTCTCCATCGACTTTTGATAGCCTCCATTTTTCTATGCCTGATGTTGTAAGGATCCTCTTGTCGAGCCAACTCAAAGTCTCGCATAATATTCACCCACTTTTCTCTCGATGTTTCACTGGTGCCCTTGAGTTGATCTACCCCTGACATCATAAAAGCCGAAAGGAGAGCTTTATCTTCATCTACTCTCCATTTCAGGTTGAATTGTGTTTGGTTAAGTTGTGGGAGGTTTATCTGAAGAACATCTTCATCGAATTGTGATGGTTGTGATTCACTGCTGTACTCTTCATTTGATGTTTCAGAATCGCTTCCATCCCTGCTTGGAGATGAAGGAATTTGGGTTTCGGAATTACTTCCTTCCTCACTTGGAGACGGTTGGGTTGTTTTCGAATGCTGTGGCAAATTAAGTGTTGGAGTTCTTGTACCAGTTTGAGGATTTTGTTGGGGAAGTTGAGAGAATAAATTAGGAGTGTTTATTCTGCTAAGAAATTGTTGTGGTAGTTGAGGATTATTTCGACACATTTGCAATAACATTTGGAATCGGGGATGATTAACAAAACTTGGGTCAAGTTGAGAAGTAACAAAAAGAGAATAATAGTATTTTTTAAAGAACATCTGGCTTTTCAATCTTTAAATGAATTATTTATTCCATAATTGAAGAGTTTTGGACCCTTTTGGTAATTATTTCCCAATCTCAATTTAGAAATTTGTATATATTTCCTCATATTTAATATAAAAAATATATATATATCACTTGTTTGAATTTTTTAGAGAGAGGAATAAAAATCTTAGAGAGAGATAGAAAATTTATAAAAAAAAAAAAAAAATCTTGTGATAGAAGAAGACGGCTACGCATATAGATCGAATTTCGTGGTGCTTTTAATGAAGGTGAATATGTGGATTTGTTAATCAAAGATCAAAGGTAATTTTAAATGAAATTTTGTATTTATTTTTTCTTTAATTGTGTTACTTTAGGTTTCAATTAGAATATTTTGTAATCATAAAATTCATTGTTTAATTTACCTTTATAAAATTTGATGAATCTGGATATAGATGCTGAATTTGAGAATAATGTGACACAGGTTGAAGATGATGTTCTTTATAAGATAGTGTTATGTGTATTTCTTAAATCTTTACAATTCTATAATATATTCTTTTCACCTTAACTAAATGTTCTTTTCATTTTAGCTAAATTTTCATTACGTCTCTATACAATGTTTTTTCCGCTTTTTTTTTTGAAACAGATACACCATGCGCATGGTACATCTGCCTCCACAAACCACTAATTGCTATTCATGTATCGCATTTGGAAAATCAGTGCTAACGTGAAGCACAAAAACTGGTAACTATTTATGCATCACATTGGAACATCAGCGCTACTGAGCCTAGCATAAAGTCCTATAATAATAGTTGTGCCAACCGACCACCAAAATGGAATCAGAAATTTAAGCAAATAAGGTAGCGCAAAAAAAGACTGCAAGTTTAAGCACCTATTACAAAAGCATATCATAATGCAATGTTAAGGCCCCTGCATCAGTAGCTATCAACTCAAGGATTGAAGCTTCAGCAACTACTGATTAAAAGCAAGGCGCCTGTGTATTCATTATGTGGTAACATTGATACATACGAAATATTTTCCACGTCACAACAAACTACCCCGATAATATAGCCATACAAAATAACCATTCAGCAAATCCCTTAATCTACGAAAATATCTCAAAGGACTCTGAAGTCAAGAGGCTCTTTCTATATAGCCACTAGTCCACCACCAAGCTACAAAGCAAGGCAACTCACAATCACTTATCGTAATACCTACTTCTCTATTTTGAATCCGTAATAAGCAATAGTAGTTTGTAATGTTCATGAAATTCAGTCTTCTAAAGTTAAACTTATAGAACATTAGTTCGAACAATTCAGCTTTTCCACCAAACAAAAGCCCAAGACTTATCTTGATCATTATCAGTATTCGCCTATTCAGTACACTAGAATGTCTTAGCAGTGTGTAACAAGCAAAGGCTTGCTAGTAGCCTAACCACTCAATAGAATGATGACTGAAATAATCCACCATAAACTACAGCATACTAACACCCCACTTCAAAACCTCGATTAATAACATCCCAATATGCTTCAAAACGCTCTTTCCTTATCCACCATACACTACAGCATACTAACACCCCACTTCAAAACCTCGATTAATAACATCCCAATATGCTTCAAAACGCTCTTTCCTTATCCACCATACACTACAGCATACTAACACCCCACTTCAAAACCTCGATTAATAACATCCCAATATGCTTCAAAAAGCTCTTTCCTTATCCACATAATACGCAACAATCGACGTTGTGGTCGAATTGATAATGCAACAATCAACCACAGGCCGAGTCGATAATGTAACTCTCACTACTCTATCATGATTTGTATCAAGCTCTTAATCAACACACTAAACATTTGAAACAATAATAGAATATACTTTCTCTAAACAACCCCATAATTTACCCATTTCTCAACTCACAGAAAACTAATTCAACCAATTCAGATAACCAATCACAAAATCAATACCACATTGTTCAATCAATCAACATAAACATAAACATAAAATTAAGAGAAAAGACAAACAACAAGACATAATTCCTTCATATATATATTAACCGATAATAAAAATTCATATCATAGAGAAAAATCCTCAAAATACGACATCATTCCATCACCAAAATATGCCCAAAACTTACCTATTACTAAATCCATTACTCGCAAAATTAAAAGAAGAAAAAATTAAAATCTTAAACCCTAAATCCAATTGATTAGTACCTTCTGGAACCAGCAGCACCACGTCCAAACCCAGCAGCAGCAGGAAGAACAGGAACAGGATCAGCAGCCATTTGAACAACACCAGGCAAATCAGACATACCAAGAGAAGCCAACATATCAATGGTTTCCTTATCAACCTCAATAACATCAGTTTTAATGGCGGATTCATCAGGAACGAAATCCATACGCCTTTCTCTCTCTTCCTCCTGCAATTTCAGCGAGATCCCACGAACTGGGCCCTTCTGAATTCGCTTCATGAGGTGGGTGGAGAACCCAGCGATCTTGTTGCGCAGTCTCTTTGATGGGATGATGGCGACTTCTTCGAGAACCTTCTTGTTGGTGTGGAAATCCAAGGTCATCTTTGAGTAGTACTTCTCGATGACATTGCGTGAGGATTTCTTCACTGTTTTTGTGCGAACTCGACCCATGGTTGTGCTGGGTTTAGGAGAGAGAAAATTGCAGGAAATGAATGAGATCGAGAGGAAGAAGATGAAGGAGAGAGAAAACTGCTGCTGCTGCTGAGAGTGAGAAATGAAGGAGGGGAGAAAATTAGGGTTTTAGTGTTTTGGTTTTACAATGGGCCGAGGGGTTTGTTGCTGAATCAAAGTGCATGCCCCATAAGGAATGCTCACTGATGGCAATCCAGTACGGATCCAACCCGACTTCGCCCCGATCCGAGGTAAAAAAATCCGCTCCGAGTCCAAGAAAAAAGTAATCCGAGTTCGACTCCGAGTCGGAGGAGGGTCGGAGTCAGATCCTACAAAAAAACTGAGAAAAAAATCCGCTCCGAGTCCAAGAATAAAGTAATCCGAGTTCGACTCCGAGTCGGAGGAGGGTCGGAGTCAGATCCTACAAAAAATCTGTGAAAAAAATCCGACTCTGACAAATGTCTGACTCTGACGGATTATCCGACTCCGACTACAATAGATAGTGGATTTTTGTGTGGGTCATAGTGGCATTGGGTGTGGGTTGTAAAGGCCCAAATAGCCCAATTTCTCAAAGTATATTGAATAACGAAAAAAAAAACTCAGAGTCGGGTCGGATCGGAGTCAGAGGTCAAATAATGAAGTCGGATTCAGTTTTCGGAGTCGGATCTAGCCTTCGACTTCCTGTCGGGTCGGAGTCGGATTTACCATAATCAGCTCCGAGTCCGACCCGTTGCCATCCCTAGTTCACTCTCTCCCTCCTTTCATGTCTATTTGTTTGCCTCTTACTTTGTCTTTCATTTAAGAGTGTCAGAGTTTAATCTAAACTAGGAATGCTGATCGATCACGAGTTGAGGGGTTCTCAGCTCGACTTGACTAAAAAATTATTTTCATGTACTTGACTCGTGCTTGCTACTCGCTTAGCTCAATAACACCTTGCTCAACTCATATCCGTGAAGGTTTTATCTTTCAAGTCGAGTCAAGTAGCTCATGATTATTCATTTATTAGGTTAGGTCTCATGTCATGCACAATAAGTTCACTATTTAGTACTTACTCCGTTTTTTTTACTTGACCCGTTTTAACTTTTATACTACTAGTTGTGGACCCGCGCGCGATGCGCACGGTTCCCCAAGTTATCAATGTATATTCTTGACTGACTTTGTTATCGGTGTTGTTTCTCGAGTGATTTTTTTTACTTTTTATCATCCATCCAGATTTGTGGTTCGCCAAGTTATCAATGTATCTTCTCGACTGAATTTAAATACCTTGATTATAGTTAGACAAGTTTAAGACTAATTTTTAATCACAACATATGTGTGTGTTACAATATTTTCTCGTGATTGCCACTTGCTAGTGACATTGAATTTTCATAAAGAAACTACAATTTGCTATCAACTTATCAAGCATATTTTAAGTAAGTGGCGGAAGTCAAAATTGAATAGTGAAGGAGTGATTAATATAGCCATAATTACTTGTTAATTTATGCAATATGATCTTCGTATGATTTTGTAATTGGGAATAAGTTTGATGTGTGAGGCACATTTATAGCGAGTTGATCATAATAGTAATTGAATATATTGTTGTTATATTATTTGATTTGATTTAATAATAATTTATAAAAATTGAAGTAAGGCTTGACAGAGTTTAAGAAATTGACTCGTGATTTATATATATATATATATATAATATATATATATATATATATATATATATATATATATATATATATTATATATATATATATATATATATATATATATATATATATATATATATATATATAATATATATATATATATTGGTGTTAGAGAGCCACAAGGGCGGGGTGAGAATCGCTCACATAATCTCCTAAAATCGAGAGGGAAGCTCTAACCACTTAAGCTATTCTCCACTCTTCGTTGCAAATAATATGTAACGGAGGTAGTATAAAAGCCTTATTTATTCCCTCTCATTTCAATGTAATTTGTTTGATGTTTAGAAATTATTTTAGTTAACATATACAATGTAGATGAATTTTATTCTGATGTCTTTCTTCAACACTTCAAATCTGTAGTTACCAAGCAATATTGTAAAAAAAATTTGTAAGTTTGTAACTATAACAATAGCTAGTCATAACTTCATGAAATAATACTAAGAAAATTTAGCGAAGAAACTCCAAGAATAAATTTTACAAAATGTGAAGAAAAATGTAACAAAAGGTAAAGAACACATCACATGTAAGAAAAAGGTACAAGTAAGCCTGCAATAAACTAAACACATCAAGCAGCCTCGAAGATTTTACAATAGATCTCTTGGGTTCAGTTCTTTGTCGCAGCATTGCTTTGTCACGCCCCTTCTGTTTCTAGCTACAGCTTTTACCAAGTCTTCTCTAGCTGAATATGTTTATTTGCCCTGGTTACGTTCTTGTTTTTCCCCATATGTGCAATGCTCTGACGTTATTTTCATCGTCTTAGGCTAGAAGCTAACAGCAAATCAACCAGTAAGTATTCGGTATCACAAGACCTAAAGCGGTGTATAGTGAAGTGAGAAAATAGCACAAAATAAGCTATATATTTTAAACTTAAAAAAATAAAGGAAGCATAACAAAGATTTGACGTATGAATTTCCTCCCCTACATTCAGTTCAGTAAGTTTCTTGCTGCGAGATTACTAATTCACTTTCTAGTTTCCAACAAGCATATTGACAAAGATAATACCATCAAGTAGCTAAGTTCCCACAGCTGACAGGGAATGGGAAAATAACCTAAACTTGGGTATGATCTAATAAGTCTAATAAAATTCTCCATGAGAAAATGCAAGTTGCTGCATTCATGTCTCAAATTAATGAAAATCTTCTATCTTAGAATCATACAAATAATTAAAAATTTAAACACAAAATGAAAATTAAGAACTGATGAGGAAAGTTTCTGGTGAACATATATCAACAAGAAGAAATTGGAGCATATAAAATAGGCAATTAAAGAATCAACTTAAGTTCAAGACACCATCAATATTGAAGAGAGCTACAAGGGAGGCATAACCAATAATTAGTAAAGCAAGAGGTACCAATTATGTACTTGTTTGCAAGTAAATGTTTCGACCAGTGAGGACAGACTCCACTGCTTAGGCACACCACCAAGCTTAAGGATAAATGATGAATGATGCACAGAAGTTTTTTAGCCTCAAAAATATTCTTTTTCTCTCCAAACAAGAAAATAATATCATTTGCATATACATAACCCAGCAATGTGGCAGTCCTGGCAGAATAATCTTAAGACTGAGAAACAGTTACTTTATACAATATAAAAACTAACCTTCTCGGTAGCGAGACATCCCGTCCTTGCAAAATCAAAAACTTCAAACTCTTCAAATATTCTGCAGATGAAGCCACAAATAGCAACATTTAGAGGAGCATTGACACAATAACTTTAGAAAGCCATGTACTACTTTCAATTACTACACAATGCAAACATTGAAGCAAGAATTCCATCTTGTCTTTTATCACCCGAAAAAGGGAAAGAAAATCAGCTTGTCCCCTCAACATTGCCCTAATAGATACATGAATTGCGAAAGTAATAATAAACAATGACAGAGACAACTTAAGAACAATTTCTCATGCATACTTTTTGACCTCTTCCTCTGACATGTCTGTAAAGAAAAGACCGGTCTCTCCACGCAAAAAATGCAAAAACAGGAAGCAAACAAAGAAGAAATGAAACAAGATCAAAAGCTGACCAAGAAATGTAATTGACAAATAATAAGCAGATCATTACCTTTGAAATTTTATGAAGACCAGATTTAAACTCATCAGAAGCAGAACGACCTAAAGCAATCTGCATGACTTTGTTCGATCTAAGAAAGAATCTGAAATTGCGAATGGCAGAAATTGATCACTAAGTCATAACCAACACATAGAACAACCAGCAAGATGCATGACTATTAGAAGTAATATTGCTTCATATGATTCTCGATGAAATAAAATTTAGAAACCTAGCTACACGCTGTAATACAAAAAATCCCACAAGTTTGCTGTCATTATGTCGTTTATGTACAAAATTTTCAAATTTATATTACTCAAAGAACCACCTAAATTACAGTGATTGACCCAAAAATGGTGTGTTATATTCTCCAATTCTGATTTAGGACAATGAAATCCCATCTCTTAATTTAAAGTATTTTCCTTAACACCCTTCTGTCTAGCCTCAATTACTATGACCCAGATAACAAATCAATAATCCTACAATTTCAGAATCTAACTTCAAAGATTAACACATACTAATTAAAAGAAAGGGAAAAAAATGACAAAAATCAAAAAGATTATTTGACATGAAATTGGGGAATGTAGGTAACAAACAGTTTCTTCATTATCTTAAACAGCCCAGAAACTGAAAGCAAATTAGAGAACTGGTATGAGTAAATAAATCAATAACTAACTCACTAATTCAGTAAATTAACTCACTAATTCACCAAATAACCACATGGTACTTTGTAAAAAAGCCAGCAAGCCTAATCAATACTTTATCTAAAGTGACAGTGGCTACAAGCTGCTTCATGACAAATCAACCATAGCAATCAGGTGCACCATCATATAGCTTAATATGAGACATTTGGGAAGAAGAGAATGACCACCCAATTTCAAAAACCAAATATTCAAGTCAATTAATATAGATATATATTCATCAAACTTCACGAAAATCTCTTTTATGTCCATTAAATACCTATTCAAAACCACTAAATCGATGAGCTCCAATGGACACTAAGAACTGAGCCTCAAATGAGTCATAATTAATCCTAGGATCATTTTCAAATGTGTTAGTTTCAATTATACAAGAAATCATAGAAAATTTTCAAAAAATAGTTGAGTCGGACACTTGAACACGTACCTGTGTCGGCCATGGGTACCCTAGTCCGAGTAACATAGGCAATATTAACCAACAAATATTTTTAAATTAGAAACACAATTACAAAGACAAATAAATTACTACTGAGATGATTCCCAGGCTTGATAAATTAAAATTATGCCGAGTAATTAGGAGATTAAGTCACTAATTTGTTTGGTAAAATTTTTACAAATAATAATATAAAATTGAGCACCCTTCTAACCTTCATTGCAAATTTGCAATGGTAATACCTGATATCTTGAGAACCCTTAAATTGACACACGAATGAAAGAACAGAGAGCCTAGTGATCGATAGTCTCTGGCAATCACTCTCATTTCATAGTCCAACATAATACTACAATGAAAAGACATAGGAAAAACACAAATTTGATTTTTTTTTTGCAAGTAGTCACTGATAATCACCATATCCCTCTAATATCAGTGTAATGTAAAACTACAATTATTTCAAGGTTTGTGAGAAAAGCTACAAAAAATGTGAGGAAAGCTACCTGATCTAACGTTTTTGTGAGCTTTAATCTATTTTAAGCAGCCACTATTCCTCATTTAATATATAAAGAAGTTGCATGACAAGCTCAGATGTTATGAGCTCCTATCTTTCCTGCATATTACAGACAGAGATAGAATAGTTAACCAATAAGTTTAGGAAAACAAAAGAAGTGTCAAGCTGTCAAAAATAAAAAGGAGGGAAAAGATTTTCAATTTTCATGGTGACAAATCCTTATTCAGCAGAATTCACTGAAGGAAATGCAAACATCTATCAATCCTTGTCTTTAGGGACTACATCTCATTGTGATAGCAGAAAGATGCCACAAAAGTAGTAAGCATACAACTAAAAGACTGAATTCACAAATACTTTAATAAATAACTTTTTAAATTCAGGAGTAACTTATATAAGTATGAACCAGAATAATTAACTGAGATTGAAGAAAGATTACAACATACCCCCTTTTCCTAAACTTTGCTTCTACCACCAACGACTTGTAGCGATTAGAAAACCATATTTTTCATAGCATATGATATAAATGCTCAGATTATAGTTATGAAAACATGAAATTTTCTTGCTGAGTAAAACTCGTGCTTAGGGCTTGACAGGACAGATTTCTCATTGTATGCATTAAGTAGCTCTTTTTTACGACTCTACTACATTCAGAGTCTCAAACTGAGATCTTCTTCATTCGCTAGACGTCCCAAGATCATAAGTCTTTATCTAATAGATGTTGTTGTCTCTGCTGAAAAGCCTTTGACTTTCTCAGTCTCATCCTCTATCAATCTTTGATTTAGGAAATAAAATGTACAGTTTATTAGTACATGCGAATTAACTACCTCAAAGCAAAGAATGACAGCAATTGAAATCAACTACTCATAAGAGCCATAACCAATGTTTATCTACTTATTCTTTTTAAATTTTATCCAAATTCTAATTGAGAAGGAAAGTAAAGCTCACTTCTAAAGAAAAAAAATCCAGAAATAAGCCGCTGCAAGCTATCATCAAAGGAAAAAGTGAATGGTTAAAGCGCCCAACTCATAATTGGCGAATTCGTAGGCCTACTCGAGAAGCTGATTCAGTAGCAACTGACTAATATACTCCGGAATAAACTATAAAATTTTCTTCTACAGATCAGTTACAATTAATCAAAGTTCATTTAGAATCATTAGACAAAAGAACAAATATATTGTACGAGTAAAATCAATCTTCAGGACCATAGATACCAGTTGGGTGACTGCAAGAATTCAAGATCTTGCAAAACAATAATTTACTTATTCCAGAATTAAAATCGCAACATAACACTACAAAATCACAATAATTACATTAATCCAAAACAAGAATAACATCTCAACCAAAAATTAAAAAGAAAGGGAAAAAATAAAAAGAGAGAAATTAGAAGGAAAATAATCAATTTTTTAGACTTATAGAAAAATAAATCAAAATCAAAGGGAGATGTCCGAAAACAATCAATGAAGGAAACTAAGAATTGTAAGCAAAGATGAAATTGGTAACAATCACTTTATAAGGCCAAAATCAAATCAAATCAAATTGAGATGTCCGAAATAAAATTCATCAATGAGATGACCAAAATCAAATTCTTCAAACAGAGAAATTTGTCCGAAATCAAATTGTCACCACAGTGATCATTTGTAAGCAAAAGCAATTAATAAAAAGGCCAAAAAGAACTTGTTGTCGTACCTCCATCTTCTCGATCTCCTCCAGAGAGCCAACATGAGTGTTTGATCGACAGGAAATAGTGGAGCTCATCTAAATGCTTTCATCCTCGACTTCTGCGGTTCGAAAACATCCATTTGCGCTCCGTTCATCCATATTCGCATGTCACCGGCAGCAATTGCTGCATCATAATCACATATACTTTCTCCTAAATTCTGAAAATCAGTTGTTTTCCTCTAAATTCAAACAAAAAAAGCGATACAATTCAAGTTCAGATGAGAGAGAGTGAATCAAAAGGAGAGGAGATATTAGATGATTGAATCAAAAAGGGAAAAGCAAAATAAGAGGATGAGAGGAAAACCGGGAAATCCAAAACACCAGAGAACTTAATTGCAGGGCCGAAACTGGAAATTCTCTGTTCCTAAGGTACAGTACCCCCCGAGTACTGTTCATAAGCAACAGTAGTTTTGTTGCTCATATTTATAGAAAAAGGGGTAAAGATTAGCATTAATAATTTAATTTTAAATTTTAACCAGAAATCAATATTAGTTTTTAATAATTGAAACAAAAAAACCGACGCTGACCTCATTGCTTTTTTTTTTTTTTTTTTTTTGAGAAAACCTCATTGCTTCTTCATCCTTGACTTGATTAACAGACACCATCTTCAAGACAATTGTAAATAAATAAATTATTGATCTCCAAAAACCCAAAGAGGAGGCGAAATAGAACCCATCAACAAAACAGCCCATCAAGAATAAAAAGCCCACAATAACAGCCCAACAGAACCCAATAGATTGTTAAAAAGTTTTGCATTGATAAGCGTGAAACATGTCAAGTAGGAAAGAATAGAGGAAATAATGAAATATTAGTTTAATACTATATTTTGGTTTTGGAATGGGTCGAGGGGTTTGCTGCTGAATCAAAGTGCAAGCCCAATAATTAACAAAAAACTCCCTTTTATGCCTACTCGTATTTGTTTGTCTCATACTCTCATACTCCATACTTCGTATTTTATTTAGGGAAATCCAGAGTTTGATCTCAATCGCACCAAGCCCAAATCTAAAGCTGTTCAGTATTGTTTTTATTTATTTATTTATTTATTTGACTAATTTGGTTTACGGTTTGGTTTATAGAAATTTAAAACAACAATTTTGCAGTTTGGTTAGGTTTCTTGAAAATTGAAACCAAACCAATGCACGCAAATCGCAATCTGCAATAAACCGTTTTATACATAACTTTTTTTTTTTAATATTCATTTTGAAAAATTATTAATCTAATTGATGTATATGCGATTTATTTAACTAACATGTTGATTTTTTTCAAGTCATTTTAAGTTGTCTAGTTTACAATTAACATTTTTTACATTAAAAAAATAAATAATTTTACAACAATAAAGTAAAGGAATGTAAAACCACAAACCAAACTGCACCACCGCACCAAATCGTTTTAATGCAGTTTAATTTAGTTCGGTTAGACATAAATTACGGTTCAGTTTGGTTTGAAAAATAATGTTATTCCATATTTGTATGCTTTGGCTTGGTTATGCCCTAATTTTGACCACATTCCCCCCTAATTTGATCTAAAATCATTCTTTAATAATTTTCCTGTATTCCGTATCATATTTTGTTTCACCCTGAATATTTTAATAAGTGTGTCATTTTAGTTTTTAATAAGTGGTGAAGTCTCCTGTACTGTCAAAAAAAAAAGTTAAAGTCGTAAATAAATCAACAATTTTGTTCAATCAACATTACAATCTTGAAATAAATCTATAATTATGGACCCATATATAACAAAAGTTGGTTATATATTTATATTTTTCTCATTTGATATTTGTTTACCAACTAAGAAGATAAACTTATATTGAATTTTCTCGTATTTATATACTAAGTTTGTCGACATTTTTATTATCAATAGGTAAATGTAATTGTATTGTTATATAAAATTTTACGTAGTATATGGATTAGTCCTATGCATATATGTTAAAAGTGTGATGAACCCAACTAATGAAGCTCTGATTCTATTTATAAGAGTTTAATAAGAGTTGAGATGTTTGGAAAGCTTAAATTGCTTGACTTTCTCTCAATTCTAGCGTTTCTAGTGGATTTATTTTCAATGTCATTATAAAGTGTTTAGTGCTTCATATATAATAACCTTTAATGTATCTATTAAGAGAGAAGTTATTGCATGTGCAAGTAGAAATCCACGGTGAGATGAATATAAGTTAACAAACAATTACTTATAAAATTAAGGTACTACCTCCGTTTCATATTATTTGCAACGATTTGACATAAAATAGAGAGGAAAAATGTCTAATCGTTGTAAATATATGAAACAGAGGTAGTATATTTTATTGAAAATTTCATGTAAGTTTATGAATTAGACTCACACAATAATTTTTGTTTGAGTAAAGAGAAAGTATTGTTGTGAGTCATGATCCTTGTGAGCCGGATCTAAGTTAGCTTAAAGTCTAAAACCTAAGACCTTTGAAACAATTAACACACTCTATTCCCAAAGTAAGCGCATCATCGCTGAAGCAAATCAAAGCCATTATAATGTTAACTATTACCTTAAAATTATACTTAAGCTATAAAACTTTTTGTGGTTGGCGCCTTGGCCCCACTACAGATCCGACAATCTAATATATATATATATATATATATATATATATATATATATATATATATATATATATAAATAAAGTAGCATTTTTCGGGAGCATTTGGCGCGCCACATAAGAAAAGGTATTATTTTGTCCAATGAAAAATTAGATTAATAATTTATTTTAGAATTAAAAAATTTACTCGGCACTTAAGCAAAAGTGACGAATAATTTTTAAGAATTTTGACAGATACGTAAAAACAACGATTAGAGAATAATTAAAATTTAAATTATTTTAAAAAACCAATAATTATCTTCTCTTAAAAATAAAAAAATAAAAAAAACAAAAAAAATTTATAATTATCTATATGGATGCAAATATTTTATCGCAAATATTTTTAATCTTTTCCTAGCAAATATTATAAAACTAAATCTCATATGACTAATTTTCCATAATTTTTAATAGTTAAACGATTATAAATGAGACTAACATTCTAAACAGAACGGGTATATTAAATCAACGCATAGGCAAAAGACTAAGACGAATAAAACTAAATCTCATACGACTAATTTCCCATAATTTTTAATAGTTAAACAATTATAAATGAGACTACCATTTTAAATAGAACGAGTATATTAAGGACGTGTTCGGCGTTAGCTTTTGAGTAGCTTTTAGTGGTTTGACCAAGTCAAATCACTACTTAACAAAAAAATGTGAGTGTTTGGCAAAGTAGTGGTTAGGGTAGTTTTTAGTGGTGGAGGTAGCTTTTGTGAAAAGTTAGAAAAATTAGCTTTTGAAATTAGAGGTAGCTTTTCAAGTAGCTGTTGAAAATTTAATCTATAGTTTTAAAAATAAAATATTGATTTTTATATGTAACATCTAGTCAACCACTACTTTACCGAACACTCATATCTAAATTATTTATCTTCACAACTAACATCTTGTTGACATAACAGCTACCTCCACAGCTACAGCTATCTTCACTGCTATATTTTGCCGAACACGCCCTAAATAAACACATAGCCAAAAGACTTATTCTGATCAATAAAGAAACTAGATTTGTCATTTATTTTATGAATTAAAAATTTAAATTGTCACATAAGCAAAATTAGTGAATAAGGTTTGAGATTTTTAAATTCAAGCGTCACATAAAATTAATAAAACAACAAAAGATAACTTTAGTGTTAAAATTAAAAATTTATCTTACGATATTAGAAATTTATCCATATATTTAATGAATGATCTTCATAAATATACAAAATTTTAAATAAAATAAAATAATTTATTAGAAACGTGCATCGCACGGACTTACATCTAGTACATGTAATTATTGGTAGAGCAGAGCTCTGAAAATAAAAGGGTAGATTCAGATGGTCATTGAGACATTTACTAATAAGCAATAACTTGGTTAAATTAGTACCATTGGTAGATGAGATAAGAGTATATTAAACTTATTTAAGCCGTATATATTTGATTTAGATTATGCTAGTATGAAATGTTTTCATGAATGTAGTTAAAAGGGTGCAATTAAAAGTCTTGTCTTTAATAATTCAATGAAGGATATATAGCTGTCATTAGCTAGGTTGAAATCATGAATATATGCTACACAAACATATATAGTTGCGGTGCTATCACAATTACATTAATGATAGATCGATCCACCCATTAGTTGCATTGCACTTGCACATACAACTTGACAGCCTCCCACGATAATGAAAGTGATGCCAAGATGATATATATGATCTGTCGTTCAAATAATACTAGCTAGCTACATTTAGTTGAATTTTATAGCTAGCAATTTCATTAGTGATGTATTTAATGCTTGCTAGAAGTGATTTGTGTATGGGGAAATATTTAATATGGAAAACAGGCCGATAACATATAAAAGACTAATATCTATTTCGGGTACAGATTCCGGTAACTATCAGATATGTCAACACTTATGCAAAAGGCAGACATATCGGTTTGTCAGCGATTGGCACGTGGCAACAGCAATTTGACACTTGGCGTGAAATAGTTTGCATGTCATGCAGCCACCTGTCATTGGGTTTAAATAATCAAGCTTAATCCCATAATCAAGGTAGCATTTATTACTCTCTCTCTCTCTCTCTCTCTCTCTCTCTTACTCTCTCTCTCTCTTCTTATCTTCTCATCTTCTTAAACACTTTCTGACTTTGTCATCGGAGTGGTTATCCCCGGATCCACCCCGGGGTTAGCTAATCTCTGCTCTTTGTGTAGGTTCTCATCTGGACGATAGGAGCTTAACGAGTTTTAGGCTCGGGCTTTTGAATCTCAGAATTGGGTTATCGGATCCTGACATGAACAATTTGTTATATCTTAACATACATTATATTAGTGTACATTAATGTATATAATAATATGTAAAATGTCAGTGGCTTAATGCATTCACAATACCAGTCATAAATTGATGATAAGAAAAAAAATATATCATAGGATCGAGAAAATGAAGAAAATAATTATAGTGCGTGTTTGGTACTAGATATGAGACATTACACTTGTAAGATTGTGGCATTATTGCACCTATATGCTATGATTGCTATCTACCTCTGAAAATTTAGGTATGAATTCATTAATGTATAACCTAATAATTGGAAATAAGTTCATTTGGCTGGAATTCTAGAATATGAGCAAATCAATTCAAGTATTTGACAAATTAATTAATTTGGACCAAATCCATGTTATTATTATGCACAAATTAATAAAACACAAATGATTCACTTTACAATTTTAAATACAATATCAAAATTTTAATTCAATTTGATCTTATTACTTCAATGTCGTGATTGTGAAAATATATGTTGTTTTCTATTGTCAAAGCCCTCGGAGGTGTTCATAGTATGCGCTGTATAATTTGTTATGCGTTGTATAATTTGTTGTTCTTCACCGTGCCATAATTTCTCCACTGGTGGTGAGCCTCATAAAAATAATGCTTTGAAATTTCACTCACCTTTCTTCTCATAAATTTGTTTTGTTGTATGTATATATGATAAATAATTTCTCTCTTAACTTTCTACATTTTTTTTTACAATAGCAAATTAAGTACAAAACAAACAAAAGACCTATCCATAATCAGATAGGGAGAGCCTACAACGCCTAGCCATGTCATTTTCCCTCCTCACTTGATCCCTTTGAACTTTTAGGACTGTGCACCTTGTGAAGGTTTCGCCCACTTCCCTAATTTCTTTTAACATCCAAGTTATTGTGATGTCCTTACCTTGCCTATCCTGTAGATTGCTTAGAAGAGAGGTCGAGTTTGAGAGAATAAGAACCCCTTGTTTGCCTTTGGCCCGAGCCCATTTTAATGCTTCGATGCACTCCCATGCTTCGCTGTGCAAAGCTGAAGAAGCTACCCCATGTTTCCCATACTCTTCACTCATACCTAACACCGCCCAACCTACCCCTGCCCTTCCTGTCTTTTTATCCCATGACCCATCCACTTCTACGATAAAATTGTCATATCCATCCCCTTCCTTCCCCAAGTGCACATGATTGAAACCAGGTGGCAACATGGGACCTTCCCTGCTATCCCCTTCTCCATCTTCATACTCGTCCTTTTTAGTGTAAATCCCATGATCATCCATGGATTTACTGATGAACTCCCTTACCAGA